TCGATCGCAGACGATCGCAACCGATCGCACGAATAGAACATGGCTCTATTCCTGCAATCGTCTGCGATCGCGATCGCGATCGCACTCGATCGCACACGATCGCACAGCTGTTCACATATAATCGGAGACGATCGCACGAATAGACCATGGTTCTTCGCCCGTGATCGCACACGATCGCAGAGCTGTTCACAGATAATCGGAGACGATCGCTGGCGAACCAGCGATCGTGAACCAGGCTTTAGACTGGGCGTAATAGTCCCCACTATTATTATGACGTTTCACATCAGAGGAAGCAAGGATTTATGGCAACAATTTCAATAGTTCGAATTCGGTAGTTTGTTCGCATTTCATTCTTGCGTATACTGTACGACTTGCTATAATAAATGCGGCAGAATTGGAACGAAATAGATGTTTATCTTTATCGTTACTGAGGAATGCTGTGTTGTGATTGAAAAGAACATTGACAAAAAGCTTGCAAATAGAATTAGGTAAAAATAAAAATTATTAAAATAGCGCGGTTGACGATAACACAGTTGAGTCAAATTCGGAACTTTTTTGTAAAGATGCTAAGTTCGCATGAAAATGCTTCACCGAGTACCGAGGCTCAATTACAAAGGGAGAAACGAAACAGCCATTGAACACTTAGCGTCTAACTTTTATCGAAAAAAGCTGCATCTGCTGTGAAAAGCGGCGGTGAAGCAATTGGTCAGGGTCGTAACGAGGTATATTTTTTCGTCGCTGATCCCGTATTTTTACGCAAATTTTTAATCCTTGATCCCAAAAGCGATGGAAATTTTGATCCCTGATCCCACAAAATCTAGACGCCTGATCCTTGAGCCCATGGAAAACACGCTGATCCCGATCCCGAGGGCTTTGATCCCGGATCCGAGGCTGTGATCCCTGATCCCACCCTTTTTTAGGCCTTTGATCCCTGATCCCATATACCTCGTTACGACCCTGAATTGGTACTCCACGACTGTTTACGATCTGATGTGAAACACGAGCCGTGGGAACAGTCGATTTAGTCAATTATCTTATGTAAACATAATCGGCTGAATACATTAGAAAAAAACGGGAATAATCCTTGGGTATTTCCAACAAATAGAACTTGTGGAATTCAGTGTATGACAGGCCAAATGTGGCAATATTCAACTTTTCCAATTTTATAATCAATTTTGTACTTCGACCATCAGTTCGATATTCAACTTCCAACGTGTTGTTTTATATTCAACTGATTACTTGATATTCAACTATGTATCTAACATCCAACTATTTATTCCACATTCAACTGTTCATGTAACTCATTCAGTCAATTATCCTTGAGCCCCCAATACATCTGGCCAGTTAAGTACAACCTTGTCTGTTACTGAAACATGGCTGCATCTGTCGCGTCCTTTGTAATGCGAACAGCCCAGGAGGAGGATGACACGATTCTCGACTTCGATGTGGAATTTGACCTGCCCAGATTTCTTTCCTCTGTCCCTGATAGATCCTGATAGAACTGACCAGATTTCTCACACGAAAGAGAATCATGAAATTGTGGAGCAGCATATTGTCGTGGTCGATCTAACTGTTTGTTTGCTTCGGACCCTCCGAGATAGCAGCTCGAACATTAGCGCAGATGACTAAGAACATTTGGATAATCTCTCTTTAGCTTTCTATGATACCTCATCTTCTCTACGGCAAAATTTAGCCCAAGTATCTTTATCTCCAACGACAGTTGCAAATAAGGTTTTCTCGAGGTAAAAAAGTGATGGGGTTGGTATGCCAGCTTTTGATATCTCTGCGGAGTTGCTCGAAAACTTCCTTAGTTTTAGATTTGGCTACACTAGAATTTTGGAAATGTTGGGAGTGTCTCGTTGGACTGTATCAAGGAAAATAAACGATTATGGTTTAGAAGACTTTGAATCGTTCAGTAAACTGTCTGACGACAAGTTGGACAAAGTTGTATGAGGTTATATAGTTAACGGGTACATGGAGCAACAAATCACTTTCCTCGATACCACAGTGTTTAAAGGGAAAGATTCGCAAAACATTACATCTTGGACATCAAAACCCATTACAAGCCGAACAAGACCATCCAATTTACGCACTTTGCCATATTTTTCGCCTAGTGTCACCATCAGGCGTGAAATATGGTTTCAAGGTGTACGGTATTCAAATATGGTTTTCAAGGCGAAGCAATAAGATTGCTTAGAACTATCTCTTCAAAGTAAACATTGAAGAGGGCCTTTTGAAATTCAAACAACGCCTCAAAGCAAGAGGGTACCCAGAAAACATCATCGTCGGAAAGGTCCCTGTCAGGGGTCAACTTTGCCTCTAGACAATCGGCCCTTACAAATACACCAGGCGGTGTGTGCACTCCGATTGCGTTGCATTGGGGAGTCACTACATCACGGGCGACGAGCGGGGGAAGAAGAAAAGACCGAAATACGAGTGGTCAGCGGGGAAACAAATTCAATACCTCATATAGAGACATATCAGCTGTAGTTCCAGAAAACAATAGTGTTGTAAAGCCGAAATGTTAACAGTATACGTCGCTAAATAAAATATTAAGCAATTTTTCAAAAGTGTTGATGGCACATATATCTTTTACTGCTGTAATAAACAATGGAGGCATCGGAAAAGGCATCGGTGGCATTCGGAAAAGCACTAAGAGGAATAACATTTACGTTTTGTAACTTGCAAAACACAATCGTGTTGTAAAGCCAAAATGTTACCAGGTTATACTTCGCTATTTAAAAAGTTAAGCAATTTTCCAAACACTTTGACTGGAACAATATTTTTACTGCTATATTTACCAACGGGAGCATCGGGAAAGGCATCGGTGACACCAGGAAAGGCATCAAAAAGAATGATATTTACGATATGTAACTTGTTGTATGACGAAAAAAAGTATCTTGACTTGTTTAAGGCGTTAATCACAGCTGGTTTGCTTTTCACTTGAATTTTGCAATCGCGACTTTTGATTCCGGAAAAATGAAAAGCTAAGCAACTCTAAAAAAATTTTGTTCTAGATTTCTATATTTTTAGAGTCATTAATAAGTTTGTATCCACAGCCTTTAGATAAGAAATTTAAAATTTACATCAGCTGTAGTTCTTTTAGTGTTTATTATATATATTCAATCCCCTCATTTCACGTGAAAAAGGCATGTAGGAAAACAATGAGCTTCAAGAACAGCCAAGTTAGGCGACTAATTTGTTTACCATGCTTAAATATTTATAATCAGGGCCACTCGTTTAGGAGACCTTTTTTCAAAAGATCCAGACGTTAAAATAATTCTGTTTTCCGTTCGAAGCGTTTTTTTCCTATTTAATTTAACAAATGAACTCGGGATGAAAACTTAACTTTCGAACCGAACGGCAGGTGAAATGTTGTGTTGGTGTCTCTGTCCCTTCAGGAAAAACTGAACACAGCTATCGCACCAAATTTTAAAACAAAATCTTTAAAACTAAACTGGTGAGCAGCACTCTGCGAACAGTAGTTGTAAAATTTCTTTATTCTCCGACGCGTTTCGTCTTACTGTCGTAGACTTATTCGGGGAGTTCTACAATTTAACGCCAAACACCTGTATTTATAAGCCATAGTTAGCGGCTATACGGGGCCAATGACCATAGAGGCTTGGCCAGACTTACGAATAGGAACAGGGAAAGAAAAATTTGAAAATTTTTTGGGGCAAGGTGGGAGAATTCATTTGGGGACCACGGTTTTGGTTTTCTTTTTCCATCACGCACGTCACGCACGTCATGCACGTCACGCAGCAAGTTACAAAACGTAAATATAATTCTTCTTGGTGCCGTTCCGGATGCCACCGATGCCTTTCCCGATGCCTCCATTGTTTATTACAGCAGTAAAAGATATATGTGCCATAAACACTTTTGAAAAATTGCTTAGCATTTATTAAGCGAGGTATACTGTTAATATTTCGGCATTACAACACTATTTTTTTCCGCAACTATAACTGATATGTCTCTATATGAATTGTTGAATTTGTTTCCCCGCTGACTACTCGTATTTTGATCTTTTCTTGCCTCACTCGTCGCACGTGATGTAGTGACTCCCGTTGCATTGTGGTAGCTTCATTTTCAATATGGCGGTGAAAGTAGCAGAATTAGGCAGATTTTGACTGAACATTCCGTAAAAGTTAGGCCGTTCCTTTTTCCTTTCACCATAGGTAAATGTAATTTGACTTATTCAGAATGTGTTAAAGTATTTTTTGTTCGTATTTGTTGCGTATTCTATGGTTCTCAAGGACAAACGCGATCACTGTTTTTTGTATGTAATTTGAGACCGGATTTCAAGAGGGTCAAATTTGATGTATGTCGTAGTTTGGAGCCTTTCAAAGATTTGGATGGCTGCTTTGATCCTTATTCAACAGCTCTGACCAAACGCTCTCAAACGCTCTCCAACGGTATATGTGTTTCTCGTATTTTAAGTGCGGGTGTTTGAGACCGATTATGGCCGAGAAAAGGCTTGTTGCGTTACACAGAAATCTACTTTCCTAAGTAAAAGGAAATTAACTTATCGCGAGTGTTGTATGGTAAATCTACTATCTTGATCATTGAATGAAGGACAGTTGAATTTGAGCTATGAACGGAATCACTTGACCAATGAATAACTCTACAATGCGCACGGCGACACACCGGGTAAGCCGGAAAGCAAAAGGTAGTCGATCGTTAAAAGATGTTGATAGCTTGAGCGACTCCTGCTATTCGCTTGCATTTTTAAATCTTCTAACCTAAAAGCTTAGCTGATATTAGGATATCCTTTAATGACATCCGTTTGCGATGTGATATTAAGGGTTAATTTTAAGGTGTCATTTCCCCATCTGTATGTTCTTGAGGTTTGGCAAAGCCGGATGAGATTGTGTTACAAAAGGTAATATTTTCATGAGTGCTCGCAATTTTTTTTTAAGTATCAGTCTCTCCCGCAGAAAATAACTCCAGAGATACGTTTGTCAAAACCTTATTCTAAGAATTCTCTATTCTTTAATGTCGATGAAATACCGGATAGAGTATTTTCTCTACTCATTTCTATTTAATTTATCCATCTAAAAGTCTTTTAACTCTGTTCCCTTCGAGTACTTGTCATTATTTACTCTATCGGGGTCTTTTTTCCTGCAAGAAAAAAATTTTAAATAACCAATATATTATTACCTCAATTAATATTTTGGATATAAAGCAAACACAATTACACCAAGCACAATATATGTAAATAATTGGCTATTACTTGTATCTCATTGGTAGAGAGGCATCTGTGAGATTCTATACTTTACACTAGAGAGCGGAGATAGTAACTCTTCAAAAAGGAAAAAAAAAGTGTGTGTATATATATATATATATATATATATATATATATAGACATATATTAAATTAGCCTTGATGTTCAATCTAACAAAGGATCCCCATCCGACCAGTAAGTCATAACCATCCTCACATCTAATTTAACTTTAATTTATGAAATACCTGTTCTCACCGAGTCTTGCCGCTGCTTGTCAAACTCGAGTCTCACATCATCTCCAATCAGCGTAAACGAAGCCCACTCAGATATTTTGTTCAAGCGGTTTTTTCTCATCCACTTCATGGCCTGATGAAGGGATTCACTGGCACTTCTTCCTTCAATGAGGTGTTCGTAGAACCGGCTCATTAGCTGCTCTGTTGCTGAGTCTGGAATGGCCCACAGCGCAACCAACACCGAGCGAGCACCGGATCCTAAGAACGCACGGGCAATTCCTATAACTCCCTCAGCTTTTATCTCTCCACTTCCACTGTGACAGCAGCTAAGTACCACCAGTTTAGCTCTGACTTTCACTCGTGAGACATCAGCCATCGTCAACATGTAAGCTTCCTTCGGTGGGGTAGCGTTTTGACTGTTGGGAGTAGGAATGGGGGAGAGTGCAATTTCTCCTCTTTCCGCGTTACCATGGGCAGCAAAATGTATCAAGCTCACTGAACTTATCCGCTCAAGTACCGCCTGCTTCGTTGCTTTCTCTTCAACTAGAGGCGGAACACCCACCAATCGTCCGACCATCTCCGCTTCCTTTCTTGCACCTGGCAATGGTTGCAGCCAATTAACCTTGGGATTGCCTATTACCAATGCACCAGTGTTGCTGTGATAGTCCTCTGGACTATCTTGAATGTTCTTGAGTGTTGTCAACGAAGGAATGATACGGATCTTATGAGTCTCTGACAAGTATTCGGCTCCCTCCTTTTCACTCAGGGCAGCAAAGGGAACTTTGTACAATCTGCGGTCAGGAACAATAATGACTTCGAATTCAGGCTCCTCAAGCAAATCATTAACGGGGGCAATAAACATTTTGTAACAAAAAGATAGACTTGAAATCACTTTCTCGTCCTCGTCCTCGTCCTCGTCCTCCTCCACGAGTCGCAATCTTGCTGCGCTCTTTTGTGCGGGGGAGAGAGGTTCCAATTTAATCGTATTTAAGGACCGATCTTCACAATCTTTAGTGGGCAAAATACCAAGACTCCGGAAATTATCATCCAAAAATTGACTCAAAGACAAATCTTTGGGCAACCCAGCCTGAACTAGATTCTCTGGTGATACTCTTCTATAGTGAAGGACTCCACTTGTTTTCAAGATCCACAAATGCAGACGATTCTGAAAATAAGAAATGTACAGACAAGTGCAGTTATTTTTCTTTCTTAAAATGTTCTCAATGCCAAACCAAGATTGTGGATTAGTAGAGATGTGCGTTTCAACCGAGTACTTCTCTGCCATTAAGTCTGATAGGCCTCTAGCTCGACCCAACTCCTCAACATAAAGAGCATCCCGAGCATTTCCGGTGTCACAAAGCAAAGTACAAAGCAGCTTGTAGGGATATATTCCTGTGTCCTCCAGAAGTGATGTTTTGAACTGATCATTGGCGCCCAAGAAATATCTCAGCTCCTCATACTTTTCAATGCACAGATGAAGACACGAAAGGGAGTCTTTGATTTTATATTGATATAAATACAAAACGGCGTAACATGCAAGGATTTCAAACTCTCTTCTTCTCTCTCCAATATCTCTGGATATGAATAAAGCTTTCTCCAAGCATACTTCCGAAGCTTCAAAATCACCAACAGTTTTAAACACAATTCCAAGCTTTCCAAGAGCTGCTGCTTCCCCTTCCTTATCACCAATTTCAGTTGCGATGGCAAGTGCTTTTTGGAAATACAATTTAGCCTTGTCGTATTGGCCAAGCGACTCAAACACAGTACCTAGGTTTCCGTAGTTAGTTGCCTCCCCTTTTCTGTCGCCAATTTCAGTTGTGATGACAAGCGCTTTTTGGAGATACTCTTCAGCCTTGTCGTATTGGCCAAGCGACTCAAACACAGTACCTAGGTTTCCATAAAATGATGCTTCCCCTCCTCTGTCGCCAATTTCAGTTGCGATGACAAGTGCTTTTTGAAGATACTCTTCAGCCTTGTCGTATTGGCCAAGCAACTTAAACACAGTACCTAGGTTGCTGTAGTCAGTTGCTTCCCCTTCTCTGTCGCCAATTTCAGTTGTGATGACAAGCGCTTTTTGGAGATACTCTTCAGCCTTGTCGTATTGGCCAAGCGACTTAAACACAGTACCTAGGTTTCCGTAGTCAGCTGCCTCCCCTTTTCTGTCGCCAATTTCAGTTGTGATGACAAGCGCTTTTTGGAGATACTCTTCAGCCTTGTCGTATTGGCCAAGCGACTTAAACACAGTGCCTAAGTTTCCATAACATGATGCTTCCCCTCCTCTGTCGCCAATTTCAGTTCTGATAACAAGTGCTTTTTGGAGATACTCTTCAGCCTTGTCGTATTGGCCAACGGACAGAAACACATTACCTAGGTTTCCATAACATGATGCTTCCCCTCCTCTGTCGCCAATTTCAGTTGTGATGACAAGCGCTTTTTGGAGATACTCTTCAGCCTTGTCGTATTGGCCAACGGACAGAAACACATTACCTAGGTTTCCATAACATGATACTTCCCCTTTTCTGTCGCCAATTTCAGTTGTGATGACAAGTGCTTTTTGAAGATAATCTTCAGCCTTGTCGTATTGGCCAAGCGACCTAAACACAGTACCTAGGTTTCCGTAGTCAGTTGCCTCCCCTTCTCTGTCGCCAATTTCAGTTCTGATGACAAGCGCTTTTTGGAGATACTCTTCAGCCTTGTTGTATTGGCCAAGCGACTTAAACACAGTACCTAGGTTTCCGTAGACAGTTGCCTCCCCTTTTCTGTCGCCAATTTCAGTTGTGATGACAAGCGCTTTTTGGAGATACTCTTCAGCCTTGTTGTATTGGCCAAGCGACTTAAACACAGTACCTAGGTTTCCATAACATGATGCTTCCCCTCCTCTGTCGCCAATTTCAGTTCTGATAACAAGTGCTTTTTGGAGATACTCTTCAGCCTTGTTGTATTGGCCAAGCGACTTAAACACAATACCTAGGTTTCCATAACATGATGCTTCCCCTCCTCTGTCGCCAATTTCAGTTGTGATGACAAGCGCTTTTTGGAGATACTCTTCAGCCTTGTCGTATTGGCCAACGGACAGAAACACAGTGCCTAGGTTTCCATAACATGATACTTCCCCTTTTCTGTCGCCAATTTCAGTTGTGATGACAAGTGCTTTTGAAGATAATCTTCAGCCTTGTCGTATTGGCCAAGAGACCTAAACACAGTACCTAGGTTTCCGTAGTCAGTTGCCTCCCCTTCTCTGTCGCCAATTTCAGTTCTGATGACAAGCGCTTTTTGGAGATACTCTTCAGCCTTGTCGTATTGGCCAAGCGACTTAAACACAGTACCTAGGTTTCCGTAGACAGTTGCCTCCCCTTTTCTGTCGCCAATTTCAGTTGTGATGACAAGCGCTTTTTGGAGATACTCTTCAGCCTTGTCGTATTGGCCAAGCGACTTAAACACAGTGCCTAGGTTTCCATAACATGATGCTTCCCCTCCTCTGTCGCCAATTTCAGTTCTGATAACAAGTGCTTTTTGGAGATACTCTTCAGCCTTGTTGTATTGGCCAAGCGACTTAAACACAGTGCCTAGGTTTCCATAACATGATGCTTCCCCTCCTCTGTCGCCAATTTCAGTTGTGATGACAAGCGCTTTTTGGAGATACTCTTCAGCCTTGTCGTATTGGCCAAGCGACTTAAACACAGTGCCTAGGTTTTCATAACATGATGCTTCCCCTCCTCTGTCGCCAATTTCAGTTCTGATAACAAGTGCTTTTTGGAGATACTCTTCAGCCTTGTTGTATTGGCCAAGCGACTTAAACACAGTACCTAGGTTTCCATAACATGATGCTTCCCCTCCTCTGTCGCCAATTTCAGTTGTGATGACAAGCGCTTTTTGGAGATACTCTTCAGCCTTGTCGTATTGGCCAACGGACAGAAACACATTACCTAGGTTTCCATAACATGATGCTTCCCCTTTTCTGTCGCCAATTTCAGTTGTGATGACAAGTGCTTTTTGAAGATAATCTTCAGCCTTGTCGTATTGGCCAAGCGACCTAAACACAGTACCTAGGTTTCCGTAGTCAGTTGCCTCCCCTTCTCTGTCGCCAATTTCAGTTCTGATGACAAGCGCTTTTTGGAGATACTCTTCAGCCTTGTTGTATTGGCCAAGCGACTTAAACACAGTACCTAGGTTTCCATAACATGATGCTTCCCCTCCTCTGTCGCCAATTTCAGTTCTGATAACAAGTGCTTTTTGGAGATACTCTTCAGCCTTGTTGTATTGGCCAAGCGACTTAAACACAGTACCTAGGTTTCCATAACATGATGCTTCCCCTCCTCTGTCGCCAATTTCAGTTGTGATGACAAGCGCTTTTTGGAGATACTCTTCAGCCTTGTCGTATTGGCCAACGGACAGAAACACAGTACCTAGGTTTCCATAACATGATGCTTCCCCTCCTCTGTCGCCAATTTCAGTTGTGATGACAAGTGCTTTTTGAAGATAATCTTCAGCCTTGTCGTATTGGCCAAGCGACCTAAACACAGTACCTAGGTTGCCGTAGTCAGTTGCCTCCCCTTTTCTGTCGCCAATTTCAGTTCTGGTGACAAGCGCTTTTTGGAGAAATTCTTTAGCCTTGTCGTATTGACCAACGGACAGAAACACAGTACCTAGGTTTCCATAACATGATGCTTCTCCTTCTCTGTCGCCAATTTCCGTTCTGATGACAAACCCCTTTTTGGTGATATTCTTCAGCCTTGTCGTATTGGCCAAGCGACTCAAACACAGTACCTAGGTTTCCATAACATAATGCTTCCCCTCTCCTGTCGCCAATTTCAGTTGTGATGACAAGTGCTTTTTGGAGATACTCTTCAGCCTTGTCGTATTGGCCAAGCGACTCAAACACAGTACCTAGGTTTCCATAACATGATGCTTCCCCTCCTCTGTCGCCAATTTCAGTTGTGATGACAAGCGCTTTTTGGAGATACTCTTCAGCCTTGTTGTATTGGCCAAGCGACTTAAACACATTACCTAGGTTTCCATAACATGATGCTTCCCCTTTTCTGTCGCCAATTTCAGTTGTGATGACAAGTGCTTTTTTAAGATAATCTTCAGCCTTGTCGTATTGGCCAAGCGACCTAAACACAGTACCTAGGTTTCCGTAGTCAGTTGCCTCCCCTTCTCTGTCGCCAATTTCAGTTGTGATGACAAGCGCTTTTTGGAGATACTCTTCAGCCTTGTCGTATTGGCCAAGCAACTTAAACACAGTACCTAGGTTTCCGTAGACAGTTGCCTCCCCTTTTCTGTCGCCAATTTCAGTTGTGATGACAAGCGCTTTTTGGAGATACTCTTCAGCCTTGTCGTATTGGCCAACGGACAGAAACACAGTACCTAGGTTTCCGTGGTCAGTTGCCTCCCCTTTCTGTCGCCAACTTCAGCTCTGATGACAAGCGCTTTTTGGAGATACTCTTCAGCCTTGTCGTATTGGCCAACGGACAGAAACACATTACCTAGGTTTCCATAACATGATGCTTCCCCTTTTCTGTCGCCAATTTCAGTTCTTATGACAAGCGCTTTTTGGAGATACTCTTTAGCCTTGTCGTATTGGCCAAGCGACATAAACACAGGACCTAGGTTTCCGTAGTCAGCTGCCTCCCCTATTCTGTCGCCAATTTCAGTTGTGATGACAAGCGCTTTTTGGAGATACTCTTTAGCCTTGTCGTATTGGCCAAGCGACTCAAACACAGTACCTAGGTTTCCATAACATGATGCTTCTCCGCTTTTGTCGCCAATTTTGGTTGTTATGGCAAGGGCCCTCTCAACATATTCCTTTGCTTTTAGGCTTTCGCCAAGTTTATAAAGCATAATTGCAGACTCGCTGTATAAGTCAAACAGTTTCCTCCCGTATCTTTCCGCACTTATGTAGTCAGAGATATGACAATAAGCGCTGAAAAGAATGTTATAGATATCGCTGTAAAATTGTAGCAGTGCTGAATCAAATTGGTCTTTGCTGTTTTGATCGGTGCCATTTAGCAAAATCAAACATTCGCTGCATATCTCAATGGCTTTCTGAATGCGATCTGAGTTGAGCATGAACAGGGCAACAAGTAAGGCGATGCTGATGAAAGGTGTCATGGCTTCTGCTGTTAGGTTTCCATTGCAATCCTCTCCTGTTATCAGGGAAACATTATTTTTAGTAACACAGTACTAAATGGTCGATAATCTGGATTAATAACGAGTCACTTCAAACAGGAGCACACATGTTAAGTTACAAAAACGGTCTGGGTCGATTACACCCGGAAACTATTTGTAACAAGCTGAAAGTGTTAGAATTCCCAATATCCACTTAAAAACAAAAAAAAGAAAAGGTGAAGAAGTCGGTTGGTCACCTTTCATTTTACTCAAGTTGTGATTTTTGCAGAACATTACATGACTTTAAAGTCATTGGACAAAGATAAAAAAAACTGACAGACTTTATCTTAACTTTTGCAATGAGAACTTTCCACATGCATAGTTTCTATAAACAACATTTATTACACCCATTTTGAAATCACTGGTGGTCCCTGTAATCTGATTGGCTCTAATTGATGCGATTTATTCACGAATCGCACCATTTTTTGCTTTAAATCGCATCTTTTTCCCAGCCAATGAGAAGGCTACACTAAAAACATAACAACCAATCAGATTTTAAGGCTTTTAAAGTAACCGATCAAATTGCAGGAAAATGAAATACAAGGAGTATCATGTGGCAAATTTTGCAACTTTTTTTTCTTAACTCTTACATTCCCCCCCCAAAAATGGACATGAATTTAATTTCAGACCGGCTCAGTACTGCATCAACAAAATACTTGAACTGACCATGTCCTGCATTTGGGCGATTTCAAAATGGATGTAATAAAGTGGTAATTGAACCTCGTGTCGTGCAATTTTGGTCTGAAATCATACTTGTGATTTCAAATCGAACTCGCGCTGCACGCTTGTTCGATTTTGAAATCAGACGTATGATTTCAGCCCAAATTGCACTCCACTCAGTGCAATTACCATTATTAATCAACGGGGTAAGGTTTTGAAGAAACTTTGGTGGGGTATTAAAAAACTATTTGGCTTTACCAACTGAGTTGACAATGTAAATTGGCCATCGTAATGAATTTCAGCCGTCGTTTACTTCCGTTTGAAAAATGTCATTAACCAAGTTCACTATGCATTTGTCATGGAAAAAGCAAGTCCCATACATGAAATTTCAATTCCAATATTGGAACTGACAGTCAGTGTTATCTGCGTAAGGCTCTCCAGAATTATTCGAGAAGAATTGGCAATGACAGCAGACCAAGTTTACTACTGGACTGACTCAGCTTCTATGTTGAAGTGCATCAACTTTGTTAACTCGCAGGTAAGCGAACCGTAGAAACTAGACTTAACTCACTGGATCACTGTCGTAAATAGTAGCGGAGCTCGCAGAGCGTAGCCCCATAATTATGCAAAATAGTAGTAGCCCATCAATAATCTATATATTATATCATCAATAATCTATATATTATACCATCAATAACCTATATATTATACTTTGACCTCGGTTTTTTGCTTCCTTGATCTCGTCACCTGATGTAAAAGAAACATTTTGCCCTTAGGTTGAATCATATTCCTACCGATTTCTGTCTTTCATCTTTTTGTGAGTGAACGTTAAAAGCCAAAAATTTATTATGTACATCCTCTATGTTGGAGCAGTCTGAAGATTAGTGAAAAGTCTTACAAACTTCAAAGAGAACTTAAAGAATATCCGCAAATGGGCTTAAAGGAATGATAATGGAATTAATTGTAGTTTTAAAACAGTTACAATTGAAATATAATAAATCAATGTTAAGAAAGCTCATACAGGTTATAAACAAATGGATACCAAATGAGAATGGCTTAAAAAAATTAATTTCTAAGAGTTTTTGTTGTAATATTCAGTTTTTTCTACCTATGTTCACATTTTACTTAAGTGATAGACAGTTGTGCCTGACTTAAACTACATTCATATTTGAAAATCATTTGATATCAAGCTTAGAGGTCGTTTCGAAAAGTTTCATTGTTACTAAGAATTTGTAACAGGATTTGTGATCGAACTAGAACTTCTGGTCTTTCTAATCGCATGAGGAAACTCACAAAATTTCTCTTCCCAGTGTCTTAACTTTCTTAAGGCAGATAATTAGGAAACCGGAAACAGAAAAGAAATGGGAAAAGAGAGCCCCTTCTTAATTGATAATGAAGCTCATTGATTCAATCAATGAAGAAGATTGAAGAATAAGAGGCTTGGTTATATCATGTATTGTGAGGTAAGGAAGCTACCTTTTCTCAAAGGAAACAAACTCCTACCATGTGTCATAGCCTGACTCGCTGATTTATTTTTGAGGCATTATTCGCTTTGATTAAAAACAAACAAAAAAAGAAAAAAATGCAAATTCAGCTAATGAAAAATCCATGGAAATCAAAAGAAATCAGAAAGTAATAGTCTACAATATAAGTTCTAGTTTCACCATTCTTAGTTTATTGATTATGTTATACCGGCTGTCAAAACGTATTTGCAATGCAGACCCTTAGGATCACTGTATTTTATTTCTTATTCATGAATAATACAAGAATGATTAATGAGAAAATTGCTCTAGTTTTCTCGAGAACTATTCGACAGTTCAAATAATGTACCGTCCAAAATGTTTGTACTGGAAATTCCCTCGCTCGATTTTATTGAAACACCGTTCTTTTGGTTCATTACCGAGATGATCACAGTTGTAAGTTATTGACATTCGGGAATATGGCAACATTTGCAAAGATTGTTCATTTTAAAAGCAATGAGCGCATTTATCAGACGAATGTCCCTGAAAACGAATATAGTAAATATAATTGTCCACATGATGCCCTAACGTCGATTGCATTTACCTTTCCAAGGTGATGTCACTAAACTTCTGGATAAAAAGAAAAGCCTGTAAGATTTGGCCGAATTACCCTTAATCTACCCCCTTACAGTTATGTTGGTGTTAATGTCTATTTAGTCA